CGTCGGTCGCTGAATTGCTTCTAGACAGGAAACTTCAACAGTAATTCTGAACGCGCACAAGGACTGTCGCTGTATTTCTCTTCCTTTAAAAAAATCCTCTATACAACCTTTAAACCCCAGCTCGTAGTTTGGTCTTGGTTTCGGCCCTGTTTTATACCAGATTTAGTCCATATTTTGACATCACTTTCTCTGTAATTGTTTTTTGTTTTGGTCGTTTAGTCCCGATTTGGACTCATTTGATTCTTTTGGCTTAGTCATAGAATAAATCAAAGCGTGGTCTCGGTCTGAGCGTTGGTGCACTTGGTATTCTGTGTGCTGTGGGAGACGTGGCTCTAATGATGCACATCGACTGTGACTCAATAACATGGTGTCTGTGAAATGTAAACACTCCACTATTAGCTTCAAGGAGTCATTAGATATTGCACTCATGACATGTCATTTACTGCTCTGTTTCTCCACCCACACACCATGTTTCACCACGTACTAAATAATGAGTTTAAACATTTTTCAAAGAATACATCACTGTTTTTACGGTCTTGTACCAGTGTGAGGGGTTTCACTCTGCAGCCTGAGCGAAACCACACACACCCCCAACCTGCAGCTTGTCCACAAACTCGTGAGCCGTCATGTACCAGTGTGTATCACAGGGAAGGTTCAACTTCTTAAAACATCTTACGTGTCCATCCACCTCATGTCAGCGCGATGCTCCTGCCTTTTCACGCTCCTGCTCCTCCCTCCTTCTAATAATAATAATAATAACAATAATAATGCATCAGTTTTATATAGTGTTTTTCTGGACACTCAAAGACACTTTACAGAGCATTATTCACTCCATACCTGGTGGAGGTAAACTACTATTGTAGCCACAGCTGCCCTGGGGCAGACTGACAGAAGTGAGGCTGCCAATCTGCACCATCGGCCCCTCTGACCACCAACACTCACACACACACCACTTTCATACTATCACACATCAGCTCCCTCCTCAATGCGCTGATAGAAGAGCAAGACAAAATGTGAAGCAAAAACTAATCTAAATTTCTGTGACAGTGTCGGTACAGACGAGGCCTGTGTTGTTGAAGTTTGCCTAATAAAAGTGCACAAATGCATCTGTTTGTCACAGCGTGTGTTTATGCTGAGGCTAAATCCCACTGCAAAAACCAGTAAAGGCGTTTTCAGGCCGACAGAACCGCGCCGGTTCCCGCACCTAATCTTGAACCGACTCACATGTTCACGCCGGAAATCTGAGTTTTTAGGAACTGAAAAGTTGGTTCAAGTAAAATCTGTTATTTTTATGTGAACCGTGACGACACAGAAGACGTCAGCAGCGTTCATCCGGTTCACACGCGATAAAATAAACAAACAAAGAGCAATTGAAACTATCACGTATGAAATTAAAAGTTTTAAGTCTGCAAAAACTCTTCCGTACTGTTGGTCTTGCATGTGTCTGTGTTCTCCTGATGAGATCACACGTCTGGATTGGGCGTCGCTGTCGTTTTCTCCACAGCAGATCGATGTTTCAGCAGAGCTCAGCACGTGAATAATGACTTTTATAAGTACAAACGCTCGCTGGTGCTGATGATGTGATCCATGATTGTTATTTCATCCATTTTTTGTACGGCCTTGTTTTTATTTGGTGGTAAATCCACACCTTCTGTCGATGATGTGTCATGGGTTCATGTAAATGGTTTGAATGTGGCTCGTTCACCGGTGAGCGCTTTGGTTCCCAGTGGAATTGGTGCTGGAACCGACACCAGCACCGTTCTGACCGTCCTGAAAAACTTGAAAAAACAGGTTTAAAAATCATACTCAATTTCTTCACAGTTTTGTGTAAAGCGCCGGTGGAAGTTGTCTTAAAGAAGTGGTTCTCAAACTGTGGGTGAGGGTCCAAAAAAGGTGCGCAGAGTGTTTAAATCAGGGGTCCCCAACCTTTTTCCTTCTGTGAGTTACTTTTTGTAAAATGAAAATGGCAGAGACCTAATCATTTTAACGGTTGCCAGAAATTTAGTAAATATATGAGCCACGGTGAGTTGAAGATGAGGGACAGTGAGAAACAAACAAACATGACCCATTATCCAGTTATCAGTGCACAAAATTAGGCATCAAAATGAGACATTTAGGAAGGAAATAGGCATTTAAAGGTTGTGTGGAGGATTTTTTTTGTTTCAAGTTGTCAGTGATAGATTATAGATGCAGTCGCCTTGTAATTATGATGACCAAAAAAAAGAGAATAAAAATTCATCAACTCTGGACGTGGTGGGGCTAAACATTTGCCAATAGATAACGACACTGCCTCGTTATCTGTGAGCTGACAGGCTGTCAATCAAACTCCCTACGTTTCTAGTGTAACTGACTTGCCTGCGCCGCCGGTACGTGGTTTACGTACGACTGTCACACAGTCCACAGACGCAAGACGCACAGACGCTGTTTACTCCACCAACGCAACAGTTCTTAGCGGCTTTTTTTGACCTATATCTTCCTCGCAGTTCGCACAAAGTTTGTTGCGATGGCGACAAGAATCCAGGAGCAGTTCGCCCCAAAAGAAAGTCCGTTTTTGAGGTCGCTGAAAGAAGAAGACAAGGGGAAAAGCAGCGAAGCCAAACTAAGGTGATTCTTGGAGATTCATTCCAGCGATGGCGCGACTGAAGCAGACGAAGGGTCTAAAGACTGAACGCACTGGTCCACAAATTACTCCTGGACAGGAAAACTTCTGCTTATTATGAAAACGTACTTTATTTCCAAGAGCTAGACAAACGTTTTTCAGGACACGAAAGCGATATCCTATGTCTGAAAACGTAATTTTCAAGGCAAAGAAAGAGTCCACTTGCTGCTGCGTGTTGTAGCTAGTTCATTCGCACTGAATCTCCGCGCACTCTTCTCTGCACCCCTTTCCTGCTCCTGTCCCCGCTGCCCGATCCACTCTTCCCCACTGCTCCTCACTTCTCCGTCTTGTCTAACCAACACTGTAGTTAGTTGTTTACAAGTCATGTGCAGCACCGGCTGTAAACAAACCTGTTTGTGGCGTAAAGAGGAGGAGGGAGGAGGTGTTTCTACGTAGGAGCTGTAGGGGAGGGGAGGTGGTTTCACACATGCGCAACATTTGAAAAAGGACAAACAGTCGCTGGATTTCTCGTTCCTTGGAAAATCCTCTATACAACCTTTAAACAATCAAATTTGAGTTATTCAGCTCTAGACAGAAACTAGAAAGTAACTAGTGAGCCGCTGTAGTAGAACTTTTAAAAACAGACAGAAGACACACAAACAGTAATAATGATCTGTCGTCTGTATAAACATTGTCAGGTTCAGAAGTGTTTCCATGGAATCCAGGAGGTGAAAGTTCCACAGTGTTGCTTTAACTCATCTCAACACAAAGACATGAGCAGACGTGTGTGAGCGTCTCTCTCCTCTCGCCTCAGTGGAAACTCACTGGAAACTTCTCTGTCCTCCCCAGTGATTTTCTCTGCACTAACCTCAGCTCAACTCTTCTCCCTCATTCTCTCTCTCTCCTCTCTCCCTCACCGCACTCTCTCTCTCCCTCTATCTCTCTGTCTCTTTCTTTCTCTTGCTCATCTCTCTCCCGCTCTGTTCTCTCTGTCTCTCCTCTACCCCATCTCCTTCTCTTCTCTTCTCTCTTCTCTTTCTCTCTCTTTCTCCTCCACCCCCTCTCTCCCTCGCTGCACTCTCTCTCTCCCTCTATCTCTCTGTCTCTTTCTTTCTCTTGATCATCTCTCTCCCCGCTCTGTTCTCTCTGTCTCTCCTCTACCCAATCTCCTTCTCTTCTCTTCTCTCTTCTCTTTCTCTCTCTTTCTCCTCCACCCCCTCTCTCCCTCGCTGCACTCTCTCTCTCTCTCTCTCCTCTCTGTCTATCTCTTTCTTTCTCTTTCTCCTCTCTCTCTCTCCGCTCTCTGTTTCCCTCTATGTATTTTTCCTCTCTTTTCCTTCTTTCTCTTCTTTCTTTAGTCCTAGTTTAGTTTAGTCCTACTTGAGTCTTGGTTTAGATCTGGTTTAGTCCTGGTTTAGTCCTGGTTTAGTCCTGGTTTAGTCCTGCTTTAGACCTGGTTTAGACCTGTTTTAGTCCTGGTTTAGTTTAGTCCTGGTTTAGTCCTGTTTTAGTCCTGGTTTAGTTTAGTCTGGTTTAGTCCTGGTTTAGTTTAGTCCTGGTTTAGTCCTGGTTTAGTCCTGGTTTAGTCCTGGTTTAGACCTGGTTTAGTCCTGGTTTAGTCCTGGTTTAGTTCTGGTTTAGTCCTGGTTTAGACCTGGTTTAGTCCTGGTTTAGTCCTGGTTTAGACCTGGTTTAGTCCTGGTTTAGACCTGGTTTAGACCTGGTTTAGTCCTGGTTTAGTCCTGGTTTAGTCCTGGTTTAGTCCTGGTTTTAGTCCTGGTTTAGACCTGGTTTAGACCTGGTTTAGTCCTGGTTTAGACCTGGTTTTAGAGTCCTGGTTTAGTCCTGGTTTAGTCCTGGTTTAGACCTGGTTTAGTCCTGGTTTAGTCCTGGTTTAGTCCTGGTTTAGTCCTGGTTTAGACCTGGTTTAGTCCTGGTTTAGTCCTGGTTTAGTCCTGGTTTAGACCTGGTTTAGACCTGGTTTAGTCCTGGTTTAGACCTGGTTTAGACCTGGTTTAGTCCTGGTTTAGACCTGGTTTAGTCCTGGTTTAGTCCTGGTTTAGACCTGGTTTAGTCCTTGTTTAGACCTGGTTTAGTCCTGTTTAGTCCTTGTTTAGACCTGGTTTAGTCCTGGTTTAGTCCTTGGTTTAGTCCTGGTTTAGTCCTGGTTTAGTCCTTGTTTAGACCTGGTTTAGTCCTGGTTTAGACCTGGTTTAGACCTGGTTTAGTCCTGGTTTAGACCTGGTTTAGACCTGGTTTAGTCCTGGTTTAGTCCTGGTTTACATCTCTCTCTATATTGTTTCTCTCTTCTTTCCTTGTCCCTCTTTCTCTCTCATCCTCCTCCTTTTTTCTCTCTTCTCTTTCTTCATCTGTTCATCTTCTCTCTCTCTTCTGTCCACAGTTTGGAAATGGCCAAATACACCATGGCGGCCGCTTCCTCCGCCGCCCCGGTCGACCTGAACATGACCTTCGCCCCCTCGTCCTCCTCCTCCTCCTCGTCCCCGGGCTCCTCCTCCTCCGTCCTGGCGTCGGCTCCGCCCGGCTCCTCGCTCCAGGGGGCCCTCGCCGGCCCCCACTACGCCGCCCTGCCCATGTCCTCCCTCCTGGGCATGAAGACTGTCCCGGTCCTGGCCATGCACCCGTCCGCGGCCACGGCGCTCGCCCAGGGCCTGGCGCCGGGTCTGGCTCCGGGTCTGACTCCGTACGCCGCCAAGATGCCCACGAGCGGAGGCAAGAAGTCCGACAGGCAGAAGTTTGCTCCGTACTGATGGAGAAAATCGTGCGAATCCGTGTTTTGTTTTATCCACTGAAGAGTAACTTTACTTCAAAACAAAACAATAGTGGTCCAAGACTTCTACTCGAGTATCAGTAAACTACAAAAACTGTCAAAAAGATCCTCCAGAGTGTGTATGATTATCAGAGGAGGGTCGAGCGGAAAAAAACGGTCCAAGAAATGAGTAAAGAAGTAATTGGGAAAACTTCTACTCGAGTAAAAGTAACTTAAAGAGAATCTGATTTATATAAAAATTCAATAAAGGGTTTAGTCCGTACAAAAATCAGACGTTTTCAAGGAATCTCCCCTGTGAGCCGTCTCAGATTTGCCTGAAAAAAATTCTAAAAATTTCTAAAATCACCAAATGAAAGAAGAGTAACTTTACTTCAAAACAAAACAATAGTGGTCCAAGACTTCTACTCGAGTATCAGTAAACTACAAAACTACACTATGTAACTTTTCAGGTGGAGAGTCTGCTACCTGTCAAAAAGATCCTCCAGAGTGTTTATGATTATCAGAGGAGGGTCGAACGGAAAAAAACGGTCCAAGAAATGAGTAAAGAAGTAATTGGGAAAACTTCTACTCGAGTAAAAGTAACTTAAAGAGAATCTGACTTATATAAAAATTCAATAAAGCGTCAGTCCGTACGAAATCAGCCGTTTTCAAGGAATCTCCCCTATTGTTCTCCCCTACTATTAAGTCTCAGATTTCGCTGAAAAAAAATTCTAAAAATTTCTAAAATCACCAATTGAAAGAATCTCAAATTTTAGTTCAATCCTTTGAGTCGTTCCTGAGTTATGGCCCACTGAAATTTTTCAGAAATATTAATTTATAATCATGTTTGAGAGACCATAAGTTCATAAAAAATAGAGCTAAGAAGCTGAAAATTCGTATCATTGTAAATTCCTGGTCATAGATTCTGAATCTGTTGTCAAATATTGTGTATTTTTATTAAAGGTTGTATGGAGGATTTTTTTTTTGTTTCAAATTGTCAGTGAAAGTTTAAAATACCATTACAGAGATGCAGCAGTTTTGTAATTATGATGACCAAAAAAAAAAAGAATGAAAATCTATCAACCGTGGACATAATGAGGCCAGATAAACATCAGCCAATACAAAACGAGGCTCCCTCATTTTCTATTGGCTGTTAGGTCGTCAATCAAACTCCCTACGTTTCTAGTGTAGCTGACTCGCCAGCGCGCGGGGATTACGTGGTTTATGCGGCGGTTCTTCGAGGCTTTTTTAATCTGTAGCGTCCTCGCAGTTCGCACAAAGTTTGTTGCGACGGCGGACGAGAATCCACGACCAGTTCGCCGCAAAATAAAGTCGGTTTTTGAAGTCGTGAAGAGAAGGGAAAAAGGAGCAAAACAAAACTGAGGTGAGTCTTGGAGATTTCTTACAGCGACGGCGCGACTGAAGCGGACGAAGGATTTTATTTCTAGACAGGTCACTTCAACGGGAATTCTTGAACGCGCACCGGCTGTAAACAAGCGTGATTTCTAGAGTAAAGAGGCGGGAGGAGGAGGTGTTTCTACTGAAGGAGCTGTGGAGGAGGAAGGTGGTGTCACACACGGACAACATTTGAAAAAGGACTGTCGCTGTATTTCTCTTCCCTTAAAAAATCCTCTATACAACCTTTAAGGGGGGCGCTGTGGGTCCACAAAATCTCACATTTGGTTACCGCTCAAAATTTTTTTTTCAATTTTTGAGCTTCCAAGATCTATTTACTTCAAGCAGATATTTACAAACTAACTACTGAACCTGAATATTAGAGCAGGAGTCTCCAACTTGAGCTCCCGTCGGCTCTCCACCCTTTACCAAAAAACTCGCCAAGAGATTTCAGAATCATACGTCTTGTGCTGAATAAACTGAATTAATTAAATGAGGAAAGTAATTGTGTAAATATTTCATAGGCGTCAAACTGTTCCCCACCTAAAAGCTCTTATATTTACTCCGTTTCTTGCAGAAATTAGTAGCTCTCTGGCCTTTTCGTTTTATAATTGTAGCTCACCGGAAGTAAAAGTTAAGGTTAAGGTTAAGGTCCTTTATTTGTCATTCAAACATGCGAGAGAAACACACGACAGAACGAAATGTCCTCCCCGACGCCCAGTGATCCAGAGAGAGATAAAAACAATAATAAATAAGCAATGTTAAGAAGTAAATACATCAAAAACAACAACATTTAAAGGTTGTATAGAGGATTTTTTAAGGGAAGAGAAATACAGCGACAGTCCTTTTTCAAATGTTGTCCGTGTGTGACACCACCTTCCTCCTCCACAGCTCCTTCAGTAGAAACACCTCCTCCTCCCGCCTCTTTACTCTAGAAATCACTCTTGTTTACAGCCGGTTGCGCGTTCAAGAATTCCCGTTGAAGTGACCTGTCTAGAAATAAAATCCTTCGTCTGCTTCAGTCGCGCCGTCGCTGTAAGAAATCTCCAAGTCTCACCTCAGTTTTGTTTTGCTCCTTTTTCCCTTCTCTTCATGACTTCAAAAACCGCTTTATTTTGCGGCGAACTGGTCGTGGATTCTCGTCCGCCGTCGCAACAAACTTTTGTGCGAACTGCGAGGACGCTACAGATTAAAAAAGCCTCGAAGAACCGCCGCATAAACCACGTAATCCCCGCGCGCTGGCGAGTCAGCTACACTAGAAACGTAGGGAGTTTGATTGACGACCTAACAGCCAATAGAAAATGAGGGAGCCTCGTTTTGTATTGGCTGATGTTTATCTGGCCTCATTATGTCCACGGTTGATAGATTTTCATTCTTTTTTTTTTTTGGTCATCATAATTACAAAACTGCTGCATCTCTGTAATGGTATTTTAAACTTTTACTGACAATTTGAAACAAAAAAAAAATCCTCCATACAACCTTTAACAGTTCCACAGTTCCAAGTACAAGTAAAACGTGGCAAGATAAAAAAAAAGTTTGGGGACCCCTGGTTTAGAGGAATAAGCAGAAGTGTCCAGGGGGTTAGTTACATGAATATAGTGAATAATTACATGAAAAAACTTTAATCATATCAGGATGTTCCATGTTACATCTTCACCAGTGGCTCAGAGGCTCAGACAATACAGACCAACAGCATTTTTAGTTTATGAAAATGAGTAGAATGATGTGGACTAGGGACGGGCATTCAATGAAATGTTCTTAATCGATCATCGGAAGAATTAACGATCGATTATCGATTAATCATTAACATTTTTATATTAAAATGATCATCATTATTATTACTATCTGCACTAATCTGCATAAATAAATTCAACTTTACGACATATAAACATAACGACTCTAGATCCACATCAGCTGTTTGACATTATAATGTGTTTAATTCAGTTTTGTTCAAATCTCACAGAAACAAAACTTAAAACCACATCACTAATTTACATAAACTAAGTGAAGATAAAACTCCAGCTCTTGTGTCGCTGATGTGGTTCAATTTCTGTTGGATTAAAAGACATGACTCAGGTGAATACAGGTCAGTGTGACCAGATTTGTGTTTGTCAAAACCAGGACAGCGTACGGGGGGAGGGGGGCGGGGCCTCGTCATCCACATTGAGCGACTCTCACCTGGAAAAACATTTTCCCACTGGACACAGAAACATATGTGCTGCTTTATCCACTGTGCACATGGACTCACACTTGTCCCAACGCAACGGAAAGTGTGGAATTTCTTGTACAAATCCTGGTTAAATCCACATTTGTGCTTCGGTTCGTTACAGACTGACCCACTGTTTGTGTCTCGCTCCTTCTGATGCAGAGACACATGTACACACCTGTTTGGTCACGACACACACAGAAACATACATTCGGTTTGTCGATTAAAATGAACGTAATCGATGAAATTCTTAATGATCAATTATCGATTAATCGACTAATCATGCCCATCCCTAGTGTGTACACATGAATATACATATGAGGCAAAAGTACAAAACCACGAGGTCCTGGAGGCACTGGAAACTCGAGTACATGGAAACACATTGTTGTAAAGTTTATTTATATAGCGCTTTTCTCAGATGTAGGTCACAAAGTGGTTCACATACAAAAGATTAAAAAAAAAACAGCATAAGATACATTCATAATAAAATAGCTGTAAACCTGAGGAGTGGGATCGAATGTTCAAAGAGAAACGTTTTTAGTTCCTTTTTAAAAGCATCTCCACGGAGGGAAGGAGGCACTTCAGTCCAGAGTTTAGGGGAGACGCCTTGAACGGATCTGAGGGAAAACTTTCAAAGATTGTAGCGGAAAGTTTTGTTAGACATAGTTACAGCTTTTATAGTTTTTACTTTACGTTTTGTTTTGTTTAGCTACGACTTTAAAATAGAGATTGTGCACAAATGTTGAAAACTGCACTGACGACTACAATGTCATTTTTGTAACAAGAACCAATATAGATTTTTCTATAGAAACACTTTTGTAAGCCCAGTGTGGACGTCCCAGTGAGGATGGTCTGATGTGTTTGATTTATGTTTGGTTTTTTTGCCGATATCGATTTAAAACTTTCAAATCCATAGCAACGACCAAAAAAAATCATGTTAGGTTATAGTAAAATTCACAAATGAACTTCTCACTTTTGTAAAATAATGACAAAATGTTTTATCTTTACTATAAATGCATTTGTTTTATGGTTGTTTGAACATAGATCCACACTTTGAGCCTAATATTTCTTCTACGCGAGTTTGTTCAAAACACAGATCAGTCAAATGAAGCTCATGGCGGCTGCGGTTAAAAGGGGCGATTTCTGAGCCGAGTTCTGTATTAGATTTAAATAGAGAACTGATTTTTTTGGACAAAATTGTGACATAAAAACACTGGGATCGTGCAGAACGGGTTAATATGAAAATTTTAAGACCAATTTATGTTAGGTTCTTTTTTCAGACCAGGACTGATCCCTGTGGACTTCCTCAGAGTCTCGTGATGTTGCTGTGACGTGTCGCTCAGCTGATCTAAACAAGACGGAGCAAATATCACTGGGACAAAGAAAAACAAACATTGTCA